AGTCCAGAGGAGTGAGGAGGAGGAGTCATGAGGTTCGATGAGGCCAGCGGTGGTGGAATTACCGACAGCAAAAAGAAGAGCATCGACGAAGGAGTTATAACCTTCAAACTTGAAGCCGATGATGACGCCCACGACGACCATGGAGACATACATGTAGCAGGCCATCTTGAAGACTGTGTCAGCGCCCGCATTCGCAGTGCGGCCGATGCGATAAAAAATGTGATTAAAAAATACCGAGAGGGAGCCAACTACGAGCGAGGACCCAGCGACGATGTAGAAAACTGTGAACCACTTCGTGAAGATATCACGGATATGGTAGTTGCCATAACCAACGCCGAGGCCCACATTTGTCGCATAGAAAAAGGCGTAGCTACAGTGGGAGGGGTGACGCGGGTGCAACGACACACCCCCGCGCCTATAACGGACCGAAGTGACGCGGCCGCGCGGCGGGACATGAGCGTGAAATCTTCGTCGCAGACTGCGTAGAAGGTTGTGCCGACGCCAAAGTAGCAGACGACCAGAATACAGAGATCAAAAATTGGACGCTCTGTACGCACATGAAGGTCCTCGCGATACTGTACCAGCTTTGGAATCTGTGCCAGGTCGGACAGCCCCTGGAGAAGATTTATTATGGATGACGACGGCGATCCGGGTTTATCTGTGCCGGGACAGATGTCTCTCTCCTGAAGCAGGGGTATGGCGTCCGCAGACTCAGCGTAGCTCATCACCAATGCACGAACGCGAGCAAAATTTAATCTACAGCCGCTCACATTGTGGTCAAAATAAAGCCTTGCAAGCATGATACTCGAGCACTTACCAATCGTCGGCCGGAACGCAACATTAACTTATTGAACCTAGAAGTTTACTTTCGAAAAGTGGTTGGACGTCGTCAATGATGGTCGCACGATCTCTGATGTTGGGTTTGGCATGTTCCAGGCCAGGGGGAGAGAAACTGAGCACACTTTGCAGTGGGAATTCGGGGTCGGGCATCCCAAAACTTCAGCCCGCTCGTCTCGGGAACACGCAGAAGCTGAGATCATTTTTCCCTCTCTCTCCCGCGCGCGCGAGGCGGTCCCCGCGGCG